GCATGTTCCCTCGTTGGAGGCTTGAGCACGGATGTGGCTGCTACGGGGTTTCCTGTAATACTATAATGACAATAAAAAAGGCTTGAAAGGTCGTCCTGTCCAGATTTGACAGGTAGTTGAATTCGTTGGGCTTAAAAGAATTAGCCTTTAAAAAAAAAAAAAAAAAAAAAAAAAAAAGTCAAAGAAAACAAACAAACAAAACATAAAAACACTGTAAAACCCTAATACGAAAACACTTTCCGAGTTAAAATGAAGCGTTTAAAAAAATAAAAATAAAAAAAATGAAGCGTTCAACAAACCCAAAGACAAGCCAATTTTTTCATTACCGATCCAAACATGTCAAAACTGGAAACATGACATACCCTAAAGCACCTACGTATAAAAAAAAAAAAAAAACAGACAAGAAGCAAACAACCAGGCCAATATATTAGTTTCAGTGCAAAATTCGATGAAAAAAAGGTTGTCCTGTCCAGATTGGACAGGTAATTGAATTGGTTGGGCTTAAAAGAACTAGTCTCTGAAAAAAAAAAAAAAAAAAGGATGGGATTTGCCTGTGTACCTACGCCGAGGTCTGACTCGCAAGGAGGGTTTCATAATGCACCTCAATCAATATGTATTTTACGCAGAGATGCAACAAACCAGACCAATTTCCATATTTAGCATGTCCATGGTCGCCACTAGCCCACTCGAGAAGAATATCCAATATTTTTTTCATCCCTCGAGAGGCATGAAGCGTTTTTAGGATTGAGAACACTCTGAAAAACTTATGGTGACCTTAGAGAGTGATCTCTAAAAAAAAAAAATGTTGTTTGCTAGAACAACTACACACTTACTAGTACTTGTTTTTTTAGTATTTGAACTTCAATTAAAGATATGCGGCGTACTATCATTATAGCATAAGTAAACGGTAATAAATAAGTTAATCCTCTCAGTTTGCGCATATCTTGTTCATTAGACATTGCATGAATTACAGAACCTGCACTCATGTTTTTTTATGATTGCTTCGTTAAGTGGCTTCCTAGAAGCATAAATTCTTTATCAAATTAAATAAAATGGAGCTTATAAAAATGATTTTTTTTTGATTTTTTTTAATCATAGACGTTAGATACAAACCTAGTACTAATCCACAAAGTTTCATACTTATCTTCAAATTATGATTTAATCATGATAGAAAACTATAAAGGAGGCACGCGAAGATAGACTCAAGTTAGTGCAAAGTGCACTTGTAATGATCAAAGTTTGCCCAACTGTGAGACCTACAAGTCGAACAGAGACGAAAGTTGGTCATAGTGGTCCGGAGTGTCCGTGTGGAATGGTTCTCGCTAAGCAGATTAAAGGTATATTGGGATAATAAGTTCATGACTCTCAAAAACTTGTATCTATGAAGTCGTTGGACACCTTAGCATCTTGGGGTAACCGCTCATTATCCAGGGAGGTTGATCATGTGATTGCATATTCGTCCGCACTTCATGTCTGGTTGTCGATGGTGAATGTGCGTGTAATGTAAATTTGCACGTCTTTCTGCCTTACTGACGAAAGTTTGAGATCCACGATTATCAAAATGTGTCTTCGTACTTAGTAATTTGAATTATATTTTTTGAATTACATTTTATGAGTTGAACATAGTTTGTTTGTTTGTTTTTTTAACTCATTTCATTGGAGAAAATTACTAAAACTCATTTTGTCAATGGTTTGAATCCGCTTCTAACACAGACAACCTAAATTTCTTAACAAACTCAGGGAACTTGATGAACTTGTATAGTAAGTAGCCTAAGAACGGATCGAATCATCCTCTAATTTACACACATCTTGTTCATCAAACATTGCATAAATCGCATAACTTGCACTAAAAAGAAGTAATGCCTTTAAAAAAAAGTGGTTCATCGGACTAAATACAATCGCAAAATAATGAAAGACACCACAAATCAATAATATATAACCTTATTGGCTACGAGTAAAATAAGCCGGAGCAATGACCATTTACACTAGATCAACCTCCTAAGATACAAATAGGTATTAAGAACATAATCAATATCATCAAGAATAAATAAAATCTCATATAAACCTATATAAAAATGAATATTTGAATCATCATATTATTTCGACATAAAATTCTCGAATTGTATCCAAAAGAACAAAGAATACAGTAAAAAATATATCATTTTTTTTTTTTTTAATGTAGAACACTCATCAATATATGGTGGTCGATTGTATCGAAGCATTTGGACCTTCGGCCTTCTATATATCAGGCAACCATCTCTCAATTATTGTATCTGTTTCAAATAAGTATATTGCAAAAATTAAAACTCACCAACCTTTTGCAAATTCAAAACGACTCTATAATAGTTCGATTCAAACTCAAAAAAAATAAATGAAATGAAAGAGTGAGTGTCATACGTCATTGTGGCGCCCTTGAACCACAATGACGGTGATTAAAATTGCTCACCAATCCATCATCTGCTTACTTTCACAAAATCTCTCTGTTGAGTAACCTCTACCATCATGAATGTTATTATAATGTACAATAACATGAACTTGGTCAGAAAAATCTAATATTGAAAGGTTGTTGACCTCGATGTCCACTCTCCGGATTTTGCATCAAAAATTTGTTTAGCGTAAAATATCACTGTATTCGAGGAGTGAAAGAATTTAAACCACCAGTACCTCCGAGCCTGTTTTTGTCGACCCTGATTTTCACTGCGCTCTGAGTTTTGCCGAGCCTGGGTCCCACTCCATTTCTTTATGGTACTCTCATGGGAGATGTGTAAAAAAAAAGAGAGAGAGAGAGACAGAGAGCTTACTACTTGCCGACTTGCGACCTGACTGAGCGAAGCCCATCTCCCGGCGCTGCTTGCCCGCATAATCGGTTCGCACACTCGACCCCTTCGGTTTATCAGCCAAGCTCGGTATATAGAACCTCACCTTAGCCTTTCCCCCCCCGAAGGATCCGGATAGAGGAGACTGTGTTGTGAGCCGCGAACGAAGGATGATGGTGCAGGGTCAGCGGAGTGAATAGTTTGCCGCGGGGAAGGGCGAGGAGGCGT